ACACACACACACACACACACACACACACACACACACACACAAACACACACACAAAGAAAGAAAAGAAAAATATTTAAAGTGGATGTTTGCAGAGTAGGATTTTGAAACCAGACCAGAGGACACAGAGCCATAGGTATGAGACCTATAGCCCCAAAGGAAGTCATTAACAGGTCCCAGCACACAGGTCCAATCATGGAAGACCAAACTGGACCCCAATCTAAATTTTAAACTTTGAGAGTTCCTGGCGTATGGCACAATCACATTTCTCTAGAACTCGGGCCAGAGAACTCCAGTAATTGCATGTCAGCAGAAATCATTCTCTCTCTACTTCTCCAACACTTAAGGTTCATCTAGGAAAGGGATTTTTTTTGTTTTACATTGTCTTGTGTTGGAGAAATCCAAATATAATAGCAGAAAAGATATGAAATTTACTAGCCAGGACTGAATGTTAATCCTAGTTCCATCCCAGAAGCCCCTACTCATCAAGAATGCCTTTCCCAGGTTACAGTGTATTCACTGAAGCTTACAATCACTGTCAAAGGCATTCGCAGCTGTCACACCACCTCAGATGGGGGTTTCCCTAGATCATTATCACCTCGGAATACAGACAGAAGATTCCACTTAGCAGTCAGTTCTGCTCCCCTGGGAAAAAGTCCTTTCTCCCATGCATATGTCCTAAGATAATGTCCAGTGGGAAGTGGCAGATACAGGCTATCAATCAATGGTTTAAAATATGCACCACATCCAAAATGACAGCAATGAATGACATGATTGGCCAGTCAGTGATATTGGCTCTGAAATTATATCTGTGTCATATAAATGTATTTATTTTATTTTTATATTGATCCTTGCTCACTACCTTTATTCCAGAGGCCTCTGATGATTTTCTAGTTCTTTCTCTGGATCTAATGAGAATTTTATGGACACATATGCTTCCTGGCTTTTTTCTTTCTTTCTTCCATTTATAGCATTTTATTTGAGAAACATTGATGAATATTGTTGTTTTTTTTTTTCCCCAGATGAAGAAGGCCCACTTCAGAAAAAAATCTACACAGGAACATCCTTCCAGGACTGACTTTTGACATTCCCTGACTTTGGAGATTCTTTATCAGCCACATAGATAGCTATGCTGATATGTTCAGAGGCAGAGTTTTGCAAGTCTCCTCCTGAAGTGCTAGCAAAATAGCAAAGTTTTGGTCATGTCAAAACACAGACCATGCCATTGGATAAGGTAAAATTCTCTGTATGTTGGAATTTATTTTCTAATTTGCTTTTTCTTAGAGATTTCCATAATCTTGGATTTAATTTTGTGGAATAACTCAGAGAACACAATGTGAGTGCATTTTAAAAACAGTTTAAAAACACTGAGCATTATGATTTTTGTAATAATTCAATCAAATCTGGGCTACGTGAAGTTCAGTCTATGAAATAAAAACGTGCTTTTGAATTATACCATCTGGTTAAATTTAAGAGCTTTAAATATGTTTTCCATAAAAACACAACGTGATAAATGCTATAATTGAAGAATGTACGTAGGAATTCAGAAAAGAAATTAACCATGCTTGGGGAAACTCGGAAAAGATTCCCTATGGTAATAATGTTTGCATTAGGGTTCCATCATTCATTTAGTGAATATTTATTGAGCACTTACTATGTGTTGGAACTAGTTCTAGGCATTGGAGATGCAGAAGTGAACAAAATAGACAATTCCTTTCTTTTGTGGGACATTACACTTGAGTATTCAAGCATGTGTATGTAGTAGGGTGAAGAAACAAGCAGAAAATAATTTAAAAATACAGTGTGCCAGAAGGTGGCAAATTCTACAGGAAAAATAAACTGAGGAAGGGAGAGGCAAGGAGCACAGAAAGATGTTATAATTTTCAATGGAGTGGCCAGAGTAAACATTCCTGAAATAGTGAAATTGAGTCAATGACCTGAGGAAGGTGAAGCAAACAGCCATGTGGATATTAGAAGAATGTTCCAGGCAGAGACAACAGCCAGTTCAAAGGCCCTGAGGTGGGAGCATGACTTGTTTAAGGAAGTCTGCAGCAGAGTGGGTTGCATGTATGCACACTGCAGGGGGCCGAGAGACAGTCTGAAGGAGCTGAGGTCAGAAAGATTACAGAAGGACCAGGAATGTGTAGGGCTTTGAAAAAAAAACCATTGTAAAGACATTGGCTGAAAACCAAAGTTAGAAACCATTCATTTGTAGTAGCGTAAGCAGTGTTGGCACAGATGTGAACTATTCTCTAATCACAGTAAGAGCAACACCTAATATTTGGGCACATTTTATGGGTCCAGTGCTAGGCTTTACAATGAGTAGATGTCTCAGTCCTCAAAGAAATGTATGAGAAAGGGGCTATGCTAAGTCCCATTTGTCAGAGGCAGTAACTAGTTAAATGACTTGGCTAGGTCACTAGCCTGGAAGTGTCAGAACTGGGCATGAATGCACCTGCCAGATGTCAAAGGCTTCATTCTCTGCTAGTCAGCCTGCCTTCCTAGGGTCTGATTAACCTGGGAGGAAGAATGCAGAATCTGGGTAGGGAGGCGGCAGAGGAGATGGCAGGACAGAAGCCAGAGGCCACAACACCAAGGCAATTCCCTGTAGGGAGCAAGGCGGTAAAGCCAGGAAAGGCTGAGAGGCAGGGAACAGAAAGAAGTGAGGGGTAGGAGGCTGCCCAGGAGACCAATCTTCACAGAGTGAGGGAGTAGACGTGGAGGGGAGAATTATAAATTATGGTTGATGGAAAAGGAAGAAATAAAAGTATTTGGGGTTACCAGGATATGTGATAGAAAGATAATTTTCTTACCCTTATTTACTGTGATTATTAATTTTATTTCTAAGCCTCAGCTAGTGAGGTCCATTTCTTTGATGCCTTCTAGAAGAAGGGACGCAGGCATTTTTTCCTTTGTATTTGTAGTCAGAGCTAAAATCTGTTTTCATTTACAGGATGCCAAGATTGTTGGAGCTCAACCATCCAGCTACAGACATGCCTGTTTGACTGCTCTCACAAAAATGTGTCTATGTCCACATTTATGAAATGCCTTTCCTCTCCTCTTTTATTTCCACATTAAAATTGCATCATGATGATGTGACTGGGTAGGTCACCTACAAAGGGATCAAAGGCACCTTGGGCTCTGTTGGGTGGCAAGAAAAATGAAGAGACAAGACGCTAAGTACCATTAACAGATCAATACCCTTCCAGAAGACTCAGAGGCTTCCAAGAGAAGATTTCCTTAGGGGTTCTCAAATGTCAACCAAACCACTGGGCTTTAGTGCTGACTTTGATATTGAAAAGTCCAAACGGAGTGCAGAGACTCCTTAATACAAAGCCAGAAAAGGGCAGAGGAAATGTTGTTCTGTCAGGGATAAGGAGCCTCCAGAATTTCAGAGTCACTTAGAACCCAGGCCATCAGGGACCCTGGCGAGTAGGGGCTTCCAGAGTCTGGGGCTTCTCTGTCAAGTCTGGTGTGCACCACAGCAGGGCTATAGCTGGCGGATGGCTCCCCTAGAGTGTGTGGAGGGAACAGGAGGCCAGCAGCTGGGAAGGCGTGTGAGTAATGGAAGAGAAATTCCTCCATTCCTGACCTCATCCAAATAAAATTCTTAAAAAGAAAATTAAAGCAGCTTACTTCATTAGGGGAAGAAAAAAAGAAATGCAACTGGAAATCATGAAGAAAGACTAAGTTTCCATCAAAAGAAAAAGTTTTAATTAGAGCTTATATTTTGTTTCCTCATTGGAAATGCTTTAATTAGCACTCAGAATGCCAGGTATTTTCATGTTCTCAATTCCCATTTATTCAACGTCTGTAAGACATGAGCATGAAAGGTTCACTTACAGTGCCATCTTCAAGAAGCTTCCATTTGCTTTCTATATAAAGGAATCAGACCCCTAGGAAATCCAAAGGGACCTCAGCCTTAACATCTAATGGAGACAGAGTGAGTCTGCAGATGGGCTGATGGGAGCCATGTAGATGTCTTCATACCCATCTCCCCAACCCCAAATTCCCATCTTCTCAAGGAGGATCCTTTGAGCCTTCAAGGATGCAACAGAATCATTATAAATGAGAAGTAACAGCATGCAGGGTAAATAGCATGTAAATATTATTTTTCCTGGTCCTCCTTCATGGAATAGCTTTTTTAAACCCCGTGATTCTAACTGAGCTTGCCAATTACAATATTCTATCCTTCTGGCCCTAAGGGTTGTTTTTGAACTAGGCCTATCCCCCAAGCCAGGCCATTTCCAATCTCTTTAGTATCTTCTACAATTAGAGCTGCAACTTGTGTGTTTGGGGTAGAGGGTAGGATCCAGTCTTCCTTATTAACAACAGTAATTTAGAATTAAAATACAATGTAAAGTGTATCCTTACTATATTTTGCACAGAAGAAAAGCAAAGTAGAAACAGTTCACAGTTTAGATTGATACAAACTTGAATTTGAATTCAGGTGCTGGTACTTAGAAGTTGTAGAACCTTGGTCAACTATACAACTTAGTTTCATCTTCTTCATCCATAGAATAGAGGTGTGAAATTTAGGAAGTAACATTTTAAGATACAAATGTAGGCTCTGCTTTGTTCCCTGTGGTTACCATTTTTTTGCCACAATCCCTTCAAGAAATTGGATTTCTCTTTCCTTTGAATCTAGGCTGGCCCTTTAACAGCTTTGAGAATAGATTTTGGTAGAGATGATGCTAACTGTTCTTGGCCTAGAACCTAAAATGAATGGCGGGTAGATTCTGCTTGAGAGAATTCTGATTGGCCTGGGACCACCATGCTATGGAAAACTACGAGCCATGTGGAAAGTTCCTAGAGGATGAGATGTCATGCAGAGGGGAAGGGATCACACTGAGCATCAAGGTTCCAAAGATGCGATTGAAGAACCTCCTGCAGCCCCAGTATCATAGTTGACATTATACAGATCAGAGATAACTGCCCAGTCAAGACCTTGCTCAATCTTGGATCCATGAAACCAAAAGATACAACAAAAGGTTTATTTTAAGTTAATAGGTTTGAGGTAGTCCATTAGGCAGCAATTGATAACAGCAACACCCCCCTGTTAGTTCTCTATTGCATAATGAATCACCCCAAAACTTAGACTAAAACAAGAGCAATTGGTTTATTGTTGTCTCTTGTCATTCTGGAGGTTGACTGGGCTCAGCTAGGTGGTTCTCACTTGTGTCTCTCATGCCACTGTAGTCTGAAGGGGACTTACTGCTGAAGTCATCTTAAAGGCCTCCTCAGTCTCATAACTGGTGACTGATGTTATCTTCTGGTTGGGACCTTAGCTGGGGCTATGGTTGGAATACCTGTTCGGACCTTCTCCATGAGACTTGGATTTCCTCACAGTATAACAACTGCATTCCAAGTATAATTGCCCCTAAACAGTGGGCAGAAGAGCATGGCAGTTTTAAAACTTAGTCTTGGAAATCACAGAGCACTGCTTTCAACATCTCTGATCAAGGTAGCTACAATGGTTCACCGAGACTGACTCTCTTTATATCCTACATAGGAGGAATGTCAGTCTCACACTGTAAGAGAAACATGTGGAATGGAAGACTCTATGGAAGCCATCTTTAGAAAATACATTCACACACACACACACACACACACACACACACACACACACACACACACACACTAATCTACCCTCTCAATTCCCACGTCCTCAACATGATTAAACAGAAATGCAAGAGAAAAAGGAAACACTCAGTATTCAGGTATTGAGTTTTAAAACAGACTTTTACAAGTCTATTCATGGCAGGGAATAAATAACCCAAGGAAGAAAAAGTTGTGAGCCTCAAAAATCTGATTTTCAAGTATCTAGAGCTTAAAATCCTTCAAAGACTCAGAATCCAAAGTTCCCATCATAAGATGTTCATGATTGGTTGGAGACTGTTAAGTGGCCCTAAGAGGGACCCTGCTGTCTCCCTCATTCTCCCCAGCCATACCCCAGGTCAGCTTGGGAATTTGAGAGTAGAGGGAGCCTGTTTCCTTTTAGATCCAGAGGCCAAAGTCACGAAGAGGTTCCTGGCCACTATGGCATAGGGACAGCAGGGCACAAATGAAAGGTTTTTTGGACAACACCAGTTGTACTGTAGAGCTACTAAAGATTTCTGGGGAGGCAGAAAGAACAAACCTGACCCCATGTGGTAGGGACAAAAATATCAGAAGATGTTTCTGGCTGACTAAGCCAGTTTCCCTGGGGAGAGATGTTTTGAGACCAACTCAAAACATCAAATCTCCATTTGGGTTTCCAGAAGCATCTTGGAGAAATGTGGGCCTGTCGTGTGGTATCTATATTCATCACTACATTCTCTAGCTTACCCAATAAGCAGGCCAGAGGCAGATGCTAGATTGGTGGCATAGATTAGGACAATAAGCAGTACATTTAACAAGGAACCCTTCCCCTACCCGGCTCCCCTTCCACATCTCCTACTTGAGCTGGACCCATAATCAGCACGCAGTTTTGAATCCTCAGAACCCTGTTCCCTCTCCCTGCCATCTTTTGGATTCAATCACCACACCTGTTCTTTTAAATGAGTCTGAACATGCATGTCCCTCTCCTCCCTGTCCCACAGATCACAGCCTACTTCAGACATCCTCCTCATACCTAGCTCAGGAGTCTCTCAAAAGAAGTTTCCTTCTTCTTCTCCTGCTTCTCAAAGAATCTGACATTTCACTACTAGATTTATCTTCTCTCCTTGCTTTTTCAGAATTCTTCAATGGTTCCCTATCACTTTCAGGATAGAAATTCCAAGTGTCACTTTTGGTACTTATACCCTTGTATGGTTTGGATGTGAGGTGCCCCTAAAAGCTCATGTCTGAGACAATGCAAGAAAGTTTAGAGGAGAAATGATTGGGTTATGGGGGCCTTAACACAACCAGTAAGTGAATCCTCTGATAGGATTAATTGAGTGGTAACTGAAGGTAGGTAGGGTGTGGCTGGAGAAGGTGGGTCATTGGGGATATGCCTTTGGGGTATATGGTTGGTATCTGGTGAGCAGTCTCTGCTTTCTGATCATCCTGTGAGCCACTTCCTTCCAACACACTCTACCACCATGTTGTTTTGCCTCACCTGGAGCCCTGAGGAATGGAGCACAGCAGTCCATGGACTGAGACCTCTGAAACCATGAGTCCCCAAATGAACTTTTCCTCCTCTATAATTGTTCTGGACAGGTCTTTTAGTCACAGCAGTGAAAAAACTGATTAAAACATAGCCCTATACAATCTAAGAAATTTAACCCCTACCATAAGTGTGAGATTTCACTTGGTTGTCTCCCAACCTAAAATATTAATTCTGCCTTCTAAGTATCAGGATAAGCAAAGGCTTCCTCTATTTTGAATCCTTCACAAAAGTTTTTATAGAGATAGATTGTCCATCTCAATATCCTATTGGATGGTGTCCAGTGAGAGTGCTCACCCTCTAAGTACCATTTAGAAAGAACTTCATCTTGCTTCATTAAAAAGCTAGGAAGAGGACAGCAATGTAGTCAAATGAATGATGATGATATAAATACAATATGATATGAGTTATTTCCTGAGAGTCCCTGTCCCTTCAGGATGAGGACAGAGAGTCTGGAACATTCAACCACCACATCTCATCTTTACAACTGCTTTGACTACAATCACATTATGCCATCAAAGGCGAAATTAAAATGGTTTAAAAATTCATAGGGAATTATCAAGTGGCAGAAATAAAGAATTCTAGCACTGCTATTTCCTACTGATGATTAGAACATCCAAAGTTCCACAGAGGGAAAGTTCTGAGGCTGGATGACAAATTCAAAAAAACGTTTCTTTGGCTGGTCACTTTGGACCTAACCAGCGGAACAGCAGCCTCACATTCTGCACGCAAAACACTCGACTCTGGGTAAAGTAAATCATTGTGCAAGTGGCCTCCTCCCTCGTCTACAGTACTTGAGAAGAGTTCCTGAAGCTTGGACACAGTGCCATGGAGCAGAGCCAGAAAACTTCACAGCGGTTATAAAACAGCTGCAAATCCATGCTTATGTCATGCATTGTACAGATATTCTATGAAGGACACATTACGATTAAGAAATATGGCTTGCTAGTACTAATCAAGGTGAGAAG